ACTCAACGTTGCTTGGTTGTGTTGGACTATACTGACCTGTGGTATTTCATGCAGCAGGGATTTCTGACTGCCTTAACTACTGCTCAATCTGACCAGCTGTCCATTTGTGCTTTCTAATTGAAAAATAGTAATTAAAACCACATGTCCTTTCTGATCCCATTTTTTCCTTGGTAACAGACACCCTACTGGTTTTGCTCCACGATCTAGTTTTCTTTTTTGCCCTGCGTGACTGGCTTTGGGGCAACCACATGTTCCAAAGCTGGTGAATCTTTCAGCATCTTCAAAACTAGCTATCATAACACTGCTGCCCACTATTTTGTGCCAACTTAGTCTTTTTAAAAGTCCCACCTGTGATCTCTCCCATCAGCATCTGAGATGGACAACAGCAGCACCTGCCTAAAAAACCAGCAGGGACTTTACAAGGAACTACACTCTAAAATCCCTTCATTACACCGATAGAATATTTGTGCTACCAAGGCCTTGTTTTTAAAATAATAATAATAATAAAAAAAAATGCCAGGAAGAGAGCTCAGTCAGCTGGTATTCAAGCAGAACTACAGACTACTGAAGGGAAGCTGGGGCGGGAGTTGGGAAGATCTTTCACGACTCCTTTTTTGTCTCCTGCCCTTGGTTCAGCTTTGGTCACTACTGTCACATGCCAGATACTGGACAAATAAGAAGCACGAAGAAATCACTTTTGTAACAAAATTTATTTTTGCTCTGTAGATACAAATCCCAAACATCAACAAACTCCAGTGGAAAAATACCAGTCATTAACAATGAAAACTTTTATTATTACTTAATAAATAGAACTTTGGCATTCAAAATTCTAGCTGTAAACCCTACCTTAAAAAAGAATTACAAAAAGAGGCAAGAAGCCTAAAGCTGAGCCAGCCAGTGGCTCCTTTGCTTTTTACAATGAACACATTGTGATTAAGTCATGACAACTCTATTTACATATGAGGTATTCTGAGCGGTTTCCAATTTATGAAACTACCAGTCTTCAGGGACTGATCCAGTACATGTCAGCTGTGCTTTTAAAAGATAACTCCAGACACTCTTCCCCACTGAACTAATGATATACCGTAATTATTATACACAAAATAAACACATTAAAATTTGAGTTTCCTGCTCAAGCTTCATATTCAAAAAAGCTGCATACTACGACCAGCCTAACATTCGAAGTGTACACCTAGTACCTAGTTTAAGTACTTCTGTTTCTAGACATTATGTGAGAGTTCTTACTACAAAAGCTTATAAACAAAAATATCGGCAGGGAAGAGGAAAGCAAGGGGCAGTCATCAGCATCCTAACAACTTATCTAAAGTTCAAGGGGAATATACACTTACTTCAGGCAAAAAAGGCACAAAGGTATGCAGCTGTGGAATTAATATTGCTAATGAGCTACCAGAATATATCATCCCTTTAGATAATAACCATTGATTTGTTTGCAGTCTAAGAATGTAGATTAGTTCAGAAGATCTTTTCCCCACTCATGACAGAACTCGTCACATCAATGCGAAGAGCCCAATTATACCCCCAACTCCACGTGCGTAACATCATTGATAAGGACAAGGAAAACTGGAGCAAACTACACTGACACAGAGCGACTGCGGAGTGCCGTCGCTGCCCATGCTAGGGCAGCAGGTTGTGCAGGAAGGGGTTTGCTTGCTTCCTTTCCTTGTGCTCTTACCCTGCAAGAAAAATGTCCAAAAAAATGTTGGAAACAAAAGGCGGGCAGCGAGGGCAAAGGAAGGAAGGAAACCTTTGAGTGAAAATGACAAAATTTCAGCTCTTGTAATGACTTCATGGCCGCCAGCAGTTTCAAATGCTAGAGCCCGAGTGGGCGGTTACAGCAATCTCCACAATTTCACACAACAATCACAGTACAAAGCTGCACCAGCGGAGGCTAGCAACCTAAATCACGTTTACACAACTGAGCTGCTTTACTTCTATATAGTAAATACATAGCATCATCTATAGCTTGTCTGAAGACGGTTACTTTCCAAGCCTTTTTCAAAATACATTCTTGAATACAGTAGTTACTGTAAATATCTTCTAAAGGATTGTATAAATTCGATCTGAAACTATACAAAAAATTACTATACAAATCTGCTGACAGCCAGAACGGTACAGTATCCATTCATTAGCGGTTGTTTTTCAGCCCTTGAGATTGTCTAATAGGTACAGCAAAAAGTTGTCATGACTAAATCTAAGCAATTCCAACGTTAACATTCATTAAACAACTCTGTATTAAATATGCTGAATGAGACCACACACACTACATTTTAACCAATGAAACAATCATGCATATCTTCGACAAAGCTTATTCCATTTAGAGGCATCCGTAAACCGATGCATATATAGTAATTGCTACTACTGCAACAGGCCAAATTTCAAGAAATCAAAGCAAAATACTGTATCACTGTAGATAGTCAATTGGCAGTCTACATCTTTGGCTCATACATCCATCATTTACCTCCCTACTTTAATTTGACTGAGGCAGATAAACTCAGGGTTTTTTTAAAATCAAGTGCTTTAAAGTCAACATAAATATTACAGATTCCATAATAAAAATATTACAATGCAAGATTACAGCACTGCAATCAATGTATTACAAATAAAATGGGACCTCCTTCCCGAGGGACTTTCAACTAATACTCGAAGAGCATAAAAGCTCTTTAAGTGCTTTGCAAATATAAATTACTGATCTCAACTTTGCAGTGCAGTATCACCGTTTAACAGGAGGGACAGTGGAAGCACACCAGCCAAGTGACCAGCTTAATAGTTCAAAGTGACTCAAAAAATCTCCTGCTCCTCTTTAATTGCTCTACTAAACTCCTTGTTATTTCCTCCAAATTTAGAAAAATGTGTTGCTTGGTAATTTCTTAACAGGTACAACATTTCCATCTAAGGAAATAATAACGTGCAACTTAGGTGCTTCCTCTCTCCCTAATACTTCTAGTTTGTTACCTGAAATGCTACTGTTGAATTCCAATATGAGACAGATGCCGTAAATGGGAGACTATTACTTCACTGCAGGGCCAAACCCAATGAACTACACCAAAGGAAGAAGCTGAGGCCCTAGTCACAAAAGCCAGTACTGTTAGAGGCACATGAAACTATGCGAGCTCATTTTGTTCAAAGACCCGTAGTTTTCAGTTTTGCACTAGTATAAAAGTACACCTTCAAACCTACAGAAAGACCATAGAAATTTAAAATAAAATGGCCTCGGTTTTTACCTTGAAGTAGAGATACTAGGCAATTTCACTTCAGATTTCATCTAGACACTGTTTTAGTGCTTACAGGAGCTGAGCCAGTCAGATTCATCGATCTGATAACACAATGTAGCAGTAATATAGACAGCAACACTGTTTTTCACAAATTAGTCCACGTGTAGGTTCAGGATAGAGAAAACTGTCAAATAAGTCCATATAGCTAAAAAACATTTAAATCACTAAATTATAAAACCAACATTAACAGTACAACTGTTTAAGAATGAACAGAAAGCAAAACATCACCAAGTTAAAACTGGTAACCAGTCTACACTGCTATACCATTTTTTTCTATGAACATAAATATAATCAGAAAACTGAAGATACTAACACTTTTGCCATAAAAATGTTACCCTAGAATTTACTTGGTTCTAACTGCTAAGCTTTCTAAGAGATTTCTGCTGTTATCCACACTACTGGTCAGTTGACTGACTTGCACCTTAGACATTTAAAACTTTCTTTTAATACCATATATTTAACCGATGCTCACATATTTTCTTAAAAGTGTGATTTGAGAGTGGTTTTGCTCTTTGCAAGCTTTTGTTTCTTTCAGTTAAATACTATTTTACAACCATGCATAACTGTGCAGCTAACTTGCAGTAATGTTCCAGGAAGTTAGAAGCGTTAATATGTCATCTGTCCCACAGGAGTGAAACAGCACTGCCAAGTGACACTCACTGAATAAACTATGGAACATGATCTTATTTTTGTAATGTAATTGCTTCCTACAGAAATGGAGAAATCAAGAATTCCCAAACAACGTGGAAAATTTTGCAGTCCTCAGATAACAGAGTACTTAATACTGCTAAGTAGAAACATTCTGTTCTGAGCCCTGATTTTGCCAAGTGCCAAACACCCGTTTTGCAGCTGTGGTAAAAAAATGTTGAGGTGGTTTACAACCTCATCAGAGGCCTTCAGGGATGGCATATAGACCAACCACATTTTAAAATGGAGATGTCCTAAGGGAAAAATAAGTATGGTACAAACACTAAAATACAGGTTTTTTTTTTTTCCCCCCCGACAGCCACATACTATGCTGCAACTTCATGCCTTCCAGCTTCTCTGGGTTTGTCACAGACTTCATGTTATTGAAACTTTTTACAGCAATGTGAGAGCGCTTAAAACAATTTGATAGTGCTGTATTTTACAGATTTCGTCTGCATAAAGGAGTTAAAACTTGTTTTTCTTCTGCTATTGGGCAAACAAGCTAGACATCCATTACTAAAACCAACATCTTTCCTGTATCAAATTTTTTAGGCAACTTGAAGAGCAACTACTTTCTGTAGTGCTCCAAGAGTGTTTCAATTGCAATTCCTGGAGTTGCAGAAGCCTCTGGCTTTACCACATACAGCTATAGGTCCTTCAACCCTCTGCTCTAAGAGGACAGATAACACAGATAATGTCATACAAACCCCTGATGAAGGAAAGGACTGAGAGTAGTAGCAGCACAGCTGTTTTGATGCTCCGATTCCAGAAACTAGGTGAAGTAATAAAATGAGCCCTAATGAAGGAAACAGAGTATCCAACTGAATCATTCTTCACAGCTTGTTCCTACATTCAGTAGTTTGGAGAAAAGATTTCTTGTAGTTTGTACCACTCTGTTCAAATGATGACTCTCCCCTCCCCACCAGACTCCCGAGATTAAATATTCACAATCCTCGGAGAGATGCATGTGCGGCGCTATTTACAGTCTTCCAATATGGCTCCTTAATAGAAATGCAAAGACCTGTGACACAGCAGCATTTAATAAGTCATTTGCTACTAGATGAAACGTTGTCATTGAGTAATGCAATTGTCCCCCATGTCCTGAGCATAACGGTCCGACATTATAGTCCTTAATTCATCAATATCCTTTCGTAACTGACAAACGTCCAAGAGCTTCTTCGAAAGAGTTTCTGTGCTGTGGTAATTTTCATTCTCTTCAGCTGAACAGCTCAGTGCTACAAAAAACAACACCCAAGGTTAAAGCTCTAGCAGCTGTGCTCTGGGACTACTTCAACTAATCAGTCCCCCTTGAAGTAAGGGGTAGGTCACTTTCATTTAATTACAACAAGACAAATCTTGCTTTAGTATGATGAAAAGCCAACAAAATGTGGTACTGTGTGAACTTAAACTCAGAGCCCATCAGTGCTTCTCTGAAAGACATACTTTGCTGTCTGGACCAAGATCTAGACTTGCTAAAGTCTGATGGATCTCAACAGCAGTGAAAAAAAAAATGGGTAGAACAGCCATTTCCTCGAGATTTTGTAGGTTTCTGTAGCCACTCTTCTAGAAAAGAGGGATAGGATGGCTTGGGAAATGAGGCAATGTAAGATGATGAGACAGTACTACAGATGTGCTGCACTATTCATCCTGCTGGCTGACAATGGTCTCATGGACTTTGAGACTGGCATATGCTGCACTCCCCAGTACTTCAGGCGGTTACAGTACAGATGACTATGTGGCATGTAGCTCTTGCTGCACAGGACACTATACTTTTACCCTCCTACCTTGCTGATGGTCCAATTCAGCAAGCAGTCTATCTGATTAATTCTAATTAACATTCAGAAAATAATAGAATATGATACATTCAGGTCAAAAAAATGTAACTGTTTATTAAGCCTTTTATGAAAAAAGACCTAACACAAACTCACTATGCTGAAGCTTTGACTGGCTTTAGGGCATGCTTCTCATTTCCTAGTGAAGTTCAACAGCTTAGTAAGTGCTGAAGACTAGATGTGCCGTTAACAGTACTGGAAACGTGGAAACAGAGTTGCGGGGCACTAGGCTTTTCTAATACATGCAGACACCCTCACCCCCCACCCCCAAACAATACATACACATGTTCAAACAGCAGATGTATATTCCTACCACTTGACCCCAAGGGCTTTAAAACAAAAACGTGTGACGTAGCTACACCAGGCCTGCTTATGCCTCACCTCCCTCATAATGAGTTTATAGGGCAGAACACATTTGACAGAAAAGCATCCATTAACCCTCAGGGTGACTGCAGCGTGTCTCATGAGGGATGGACACCTGGCTACACACCCTTCTTTTCTAGAGGGGTGAACACATCCATGATTGGGTCCATATGAAAAGCCAGCTACCTTCTCTCCTGACTTGGCGAGGACCTGTGTAGTTGTATGTATTTAGCAGCCCAGGCACACTAAAAGCCCAGCTTTTCCAGAGAGCTCCAGGAGTACACTTCACACACAACTGCTCCAGCTGCATAGCAAGGGAGACAATGGCCTGCCCAGCTGGCACGTTCGAACACCACTTAGCTAAACTGTTACTCCTCTGTGTCAAAACACTATTAAGCTTTGGAATGACAACATCACTTACATCTGATTCCCAGCAGTAAGGAAAGGTTAGGCTCCTTGCCCTGAGCTCTCTGGGTGAGAATACTGCACAGTGCTTTCAAGTCAAACAAGCAATGAGACATTTCCTTGAACAACTGGTCTGCTATAGGCATCTTCTCAGTCCCCCCCCCCCTGCCGTATCTGCTCCTTCAGGGAGGCATTCTCTTCCATCAGTCTTTGGTTCTTTGTGAAAAGTAAATAGGAAAAAGGGGTAAGTTAGTCTGCAGCATGCACTGTAGCAGAAAGTTTCCTGTTTCAAACCAAAACCAATATAATTAAAAATAATTAATTTCCATACATGTAATCAGTATTTCTGTACCCCTCTAAAGAATGGCAGATAGACAGCTTTCACATGGCTATTTCATGTTACCATTGCTAGCAGCCTTCACCCCTGAAGTTCTCATTTCCTGAAGTAGGAATAGTATCTATTATACGTCTGCACAGCAGCCAGCACAGTCAAGTATGTAACTAAGCTCATAAAGCCCTACCATGAGATCTTATAATCATTCTATAAGGTTCTTCCCCGCTGGTGTGGTCAGGGGTTGGGTTTTTGGAGTTTTTACTTACTTCAGAGAGAGTTTTATTTAACTGCTCTATATTCCTTTCTTTTTCTTCAAGCTCATTTGTCATCTTCTGAACTATCAGCCTTTGTTGCAAAAGCTCCTCTTGCATAGACTACATGGAATGAAAACAGGTAATGATTTAAAATTTTTGTACTTTATATTAGCACTGACAAAAAATGCATCCTCAGTAAATTTCTAAGTTTCAGTTATTTATTGCTTTTGTATTAATTCTTCGGTTTTTATTTTCTACCATGTTCACCTGGTAATATTCAGCTGGACCCCAACAGCTCTCTGTATACTAACACAGCTATGCCAGGTATCAGTGAAACCCTTTAAATAATCAGTATCTATTTACAAACAAGACGACTATAGGTATGCAAAACATTGCTCCAATATGGAATGCATAAAGTCTAAAATAACCATGCAAAATTGTTTATTCTACCCAAATTATTTCTCTTGAAATAAGCAGCAGATTAATGACAGCTAAGCTTCATTTGTGCAATTCCAAGTTGTAACTAAAGATTTTTTTTTTGGCCTCTATTTTCCACGAAGACTATGGCACGGCTTCCTACAACCTTTCACAACACAGAATTCACCTCACCTTCTATACAGCTGAGAAGAAAGCCTTTGACAGTTGATACAGAGTAGCAAGCTCTTTAAAACCACTCACAAGATAAATCAGAACAGTCTATACAACTCTACTGTGCTGAAGAAACAACTGCAGGCAAAAAAGTAACTTATTTGTAGTTTATAGTGTCACTTTTAACAGATACAATAATTACTATTTTCAGTAATGAAAACAGCAGTAAGTTTCTAGGATGCTGTTGTACTTCAATATTGGAGCTTTCCATGACTGACTCCCAGATCAGTCACAAGCAGCAACAAACGAACAACCACTGCAACACAGAATCAGCTGCTGTCAATTCCCCAGTCTTCACCTACAGAGCTGAAACTGAGAAATCAAGAGATCTTTCCAAAGTGGATTTTTTGGGGTGAATCCAGCATGATCATGTGCTTTTGTTGTTCAAAGCACTCACATTTATTCCACTAGTTGGCTTTTAGATCTGTCTTTCAAGGTCATCTGGCAAAATTCAGAAAGAGGAATATTCAAACCATCTTATCTGAGTACTAGTAACAATGAAAAGTGATTACATAAACTCCTGATGCTTTAAAAGAGAGCGATCTTTTCAGCTTTCATGAAAAAAAAAAAAATCTTTTGTCATTAATGGTATTACTCACAATTCCAATGCTGTGCTATCACAGTGCATATAAAGTGTCCTCCCCATCCCCAGCTCAGCACGTTAATGTGTAAAACCCGTTGCCCAATTTCAATTATAAGATGCAAATCCAATCCCATCATGCTCAATATACAGCTGGAGCACTGGTGACAACGGTGCATGCCTTGGCACAGTTTTGATTGTGGCCTTCCACAGAGTGGAACCAGAGACCATGATGGGGGGAGGAGAAGTTGCATTTCACAAACCGATGGCTCTCAATTTATGGAATGACGCTATCCCAGAAGAATGTTTTTTCTTGAACCTCTGTAGGAACAATCCTAATTATTCTTCTTCCAAAGCAGAGAACTCTCTCAAAGGGAATTCTGTATGGTAGCTTAAATAAAATGCTATAGAAAGACCAATGTCACTCTTTAGTAAAAGATATGCTTAAATTGCTGCACTATGACTCTGCAACCTTATTCAAAGACAGAAAAAACCCCTAAGCTCCCCACTTAACAGAACCACAGCAAACTGCATCAAGCTATGTTTGCTTTGGGTCTTAGGAAAACAATTTAGCTTTGGAAAAGAAGCCAAATCCACTCTTGTGCGAGTTGCTCTTAAGATGTATGAAGAATGGAACTTTCAGGTTACCAGTACTGGGGATTGTGGCACATAGGAGACTGTCTATGTACAGGGCTGCCCTTTACCATGTATGCAGCCTACTGACTGGATGAGAAGCCATTTAATTGACTTGCCAGCTATAAGAATTATTAGTGCTAATGAGAAGGCAGGGCGTAATGAGAGGCAAGGCAGGGCCGACACTGAGTGGACTTTTTAATGCCCTGGCTGCCCACGGAAGGTCTGCAGTCTTGACAAAATTTCCCACCTCACTCAGCTCAACGCAGCACAAGCAGTAAGAAAAGCCAGTGCTTTGTCATACCCTTTGCAAAACTGGAAAACAATGCTGCTAAAATTTACACACTTAATATGGACTAAAACCCCCCACACTTTATTTTCACGTAAGCAGTAAGAATCAGCAGGCAGAACCCAGAAATGACTACTTGTTTAAAACTGTTTTCACACACTCGATCTGCTCCTCAGTTCACCCACACTGTGCCCCTCAAAAGGAAGTGCTGAAGTAACGTGCATCCTAAAGATAAGCTGTGCGAGAAAGCACAGCTTCACACTCCAGTGGGAGGAAGGGGAGGAGGAAAGAGGGCCCTGCCCCACGTCAAAGGAAACACCCTGGGCCCGGAGAGGTCAGGAAATAGCTCTGCTTCAGGCATTTCCTTTGTCGTGCTTGCAGATGAGCAGAACCCACAGCGGTGTTGAACAGTCATCTTCAGTTTTTTAAAAACATTGTCTACTGAGAAAAAAGGCCATATTTGGTCAGGCTGAAGGTCCCTCTAGCTCTGTCTGTCTGCAGCCAGGCAGAAGAAGGTGCTTAGGGAGGGGAACAGGGCAATGCAGTAATAACAGGTAATGCAGTAATACCCCGCCCCAGCTTCCACGTATCTTTAAATGTCTTTGATGTACTTTTCTTCCACGAGCAAGTTTAAGGACACCCAGAACCCCAGTTACAATACATGCGACAGTACCACCACTTACACATTTCATGTTCGTGTCAAAGCCAGACATTAAAGGTTTGACTGTGCAGCCTCTGAGGGTGGCTGGTGGTAGGGAAGACAGATTCAGAAATAATACCTTCCCCAGTGTATTTCAGAACTGTCTGCCGCTAAATTTACATGACTGTGCAAACTACTCCAAACCCAACTTCTAGTATATTCCAAATAACGTGCACACATTCAGCTCATGAGTTGCACTGTTTAACGGGAACTACTAGAAATGAAAATCAGTGTTTATTTCTAAAAGATACACCTAACATCTATAATTCTCTGCTACCCTAAACTTAAAGCTCAGAAAAAGCACATGTGTTTACCAGCTTGGCTGAACCCACAGTGCTATGATTACCCAGTTACTCATAGTGCTATGAGCCCTCCGTACTTCACCCTTAATTTTTCCACATGCTTTCCAAAGTTACAATTTGGTGGCATTACTCCCAGCCTGGCACCGTTTGGGTTTATTGTGACTGACAGGATTGAGAGAGATACTTTAGGTGGCATTGTACAATCTGACTTCCTTCTACTGTCTGTTTTTTGTACCAAAAAATGTTAATTTTGTGATATCTAAATAATAATGTAAATACAGATTTTGTAAATGCCACACCCATGGATAATTTTTCTCTTTCTGAAGATGTACTATATATGCAGCATGACAACTTGTCAAGACCAACCAGAATTTTAATCCCTCACACTCAGGAGAACAAATCAACCAAGCAAAACCATACAAGGAAGATCAAAATCATTCCATCACGATTATGAGCAGATAGAAGCTAGTACCGCTTCATACACTGCTGTATGAAACAGAATTGCTTTGTTTTCAGCTTGCAAGTTAAAAGACAACAAACTGAAATATATTCTCAAGCATAAGTTCACAATGTGGCAGAAGACGGAATAAAATGAGATGATCTGAGCTGAAGATAAACTGTATCTCTGTGCTGATGAGGGATTTCAGTTTCTAATGAACTGATTTTCAATGCTTCCCAGGGAACAAATATGGAAGGCCAGGGAGATCAAGGATACAAAGAAGCTGCTGTAGTCTACAAGTAATTTGAGGGCTAACACCATTTTCAAATCTTATTTTTTGTCCTTATATAAAATACCTCAAAAGAGGAAAAGTAAGAGAAAGTCCCGGAGAACAGACCACTACTCTGTTCACAGATTGTCACAACTACTCAGCATTTCCCAGTCTCAGCTCCCTAAAGTCATTTCAGACTAAGCACACAAAACACCAATCTGTATAAATGTGCACAAAGATCACTCATCTAAAGATAAATGATAGCGATAGCTGATAGAGAGAAAAAGATCAGGAAGTTTAGGAAATATGAAAAGATTAAGGTTGGTGATAATACATTTAGGCAAGTTGTGCGTATTCTTGTAAGCACAACATATACATATAGTATACATGTAAATAATCTTAACTAAACTATGAAGCGGGACAGAGAACCTCAGAAAGGTTATGGAGTCCAATTTAAACTCTTTGTTTTAGTTATGAAATATCCAAAACTACACTTGCCTGTGTCACAATTTTGCATGTAACAGGCTGCTCCATGAAAACATCTCAATTTGATAAATTTTGTCTTCTTCAAACCTAGAGAACCCTAAATGATTGATTTTGCTTTTCAGTTAACAGACGTATGTTATGCTGCAACTTAAAATTCCCCTTCTGTTTCTCTACATATGTACTTAATACACTGTAATTCAATCAAGCAAAAATACAGTTGTCAACAGGAACCAGGCCTGCTATTTACCTGCATGGTAGAGAAAGGAAGCAATTTAATGGTGGAAGACAACTTACTTTCAACAGCTACAATGAAGCAAACTTGGCTCCAGTGTGCAAAGTGGAAATAAGAAAGCACATTCTCTTAGCAAGTGTTATGCAAGCAGTTTTGTGTCTCTTCATTATTTGGATTCTAGCTCCATAGAGTGCTCCCTTCCACTTCAGAAGGAGCAGGCATTCAGCTGATTGTTTACTACCATTTTGTTTGTCTTCCAAACCTAACGTACACAGAGCCAAAGGAGAAGCACCTTCTTTATTCTCAAGGGACAACCCTGTAATTTCAGTCCCTCTAGAGGGCAAGGAAGCAAAAAATGTGGTGAGAAATGCCAATCTAGAAGAAGAATGCGGAAACCAGAATTTGTTGAATTTGGCTTCAGTATTTTCTGAAAACAGATGTTTGTTTGGGTTTTTAAATGCTCAATATAATGTTTCCTTTTCTCCACAACAAACACTGGTCACTAAATACCTTTCAAGTATCAGAAGCCTGATGTGTTAATCCAATCCAGAGAGCCGCAACTGACTCCTAGCTGACAACCTCTGCTGTCTTGAAAAGTCCTCGGCTCCAAGCTAGGTACCCAAGATCCGCCAAGAGAGTTAAGATATCTAAGTGAGTGAAGTGTCAGAAACCAGCTGAACAGGGACCTGCTTAAACAGTGTGAAATGTGAAGTGGTATGGTTTAGGAAGGCACTTGTCTCTACTAAGGATCTCAGCAGTGAGGCTCCTAATCAATATCACTTTTTGTACTTTGGATGATCACCTGAACCCCAAAGTTGGGTGGGAGGCACTGTTGCTTACAGGGGCAGTCCTCACACTTGAAACAGGCAGCTCTGATATGACATCCACTAGACCAGCAGAATAAGGATGCTACATAGCAACAGTTTTTCACTTCATGATGAGTACTGGCAAAGCGCTAAACCATACAAACATCAATAATGAATACATTATGAGCCTGCAAGAGAACACAGGTCAGCTACAGGCCATAAGACTTAAGTTCTTGGCATTTCTACCTTTGCCTCCTATTTGGGAAGATAAAAGGAGGAAAATCAACTTCAGTAACGTTATCTTATGAACTAAAAATGGACAGAGCAAACAACAGAACATACACTCTTCCTTACCCGCATGTCTGAAATCAGTCCAGCTATCTGATTTTGTTGATTGTCTATGACCTAGAATATAAAATTGCATAATTTACAAGGTTTGAATCTCTTCAGATCCTTTTTTAAAAATCAGCTTACAGGTGTGTAGCCATAGGTTTTAAATGGAATCTTTGAAAATGTAAATGACAAGACAGAGTTTAACTCTGACAGAACAGGAAATTCATGCAAAATAAATGTACTGGACAGAAACAGACAGGTATTGAAAAGAAACCCAAATTAGCAACAAATGTGTAATTCTTTAGTGAGATAGTTATTGCTAAAGTAAAAAAGTAAAGAAATGCAGGACTCAAGGTTAAAGATGCCACCAACAGATCATTTGCAGACTAACCTTACTGGCTTTCTCATTCTTTTCTTTGAGACATTCATTCTCGCTCTGAAGCTGTTTTGTGTCCAACATGGGAAGCCGAATACCATCTTCCAGGCATTTTTCTACTTTCTGTTGTAAACTGCCATTTAACATGAAAGAAAAATTAAGTACACTGACAGAAACCAGAAGGGCTGTGTGTTCTAGTGAAAAATTAGGAAGTTGCACCATCTTCCAACCAGAACTGTAAAACCGTACCTAGCAGAATCCAGCCTTACAAATGAGCAAACCAACTGAATGAATGATGCAAAAATCCTAAACTACTGAAGTTACTGTGGCACTGACAAGAACAGATTCATGCAGGAATGATTTTATGGGCCAGATTCTGTGATGCTTCTCCCAAAAGGCACAGCTCTAGCAGTACAGCATAGGGAAAGAGGGCAGAGAAGAGGCAAAGAAAAGCTTGGTGGTGTTCCCAGCTGCTCTGTGCTACTGTGAGAGGCAAAGCCAGCACCAGCATAGATCAGAGGAGTCTTCAAACCTCTCAAAGTTACAGGAGCTTTAAAATCGGACGCTCTCACTGGGGCATGTACAACTCAAAGCAGAGTCCAGAATCAGAGGCTGCACCAAATACTGGTGGCCTATCCTTCATGTCCTCTGTGACTTGTAAGGGGGAGCATAAAGCTGCTCCTGCCAGCTGCTCCCACACGACAGCATAACCCTTCAGGCCCTCTGTAGGTCCACTCAAGCTTAGGTGCAGCTAGAGCCTTTGCCTGCTCACCTTCTCTCAGAAAGGAAATACATTTTATTAGTGTTAATCTTGCTGTCTAATTTAGAAACCAGAGGCCACCTCAACTATTTGTAGGCTTTCAGAAAAGACAAAATGATCCCCCTCTAGATTACGAGGGCACGAAGAAAAAAGGCCTTTGATTTGTGAGATGGAAACAATGTGTCAACAATTTGGCTGGCAAGGTGTCCCAACCAGCTTGCCTTTCATCATGGAAACACTTTCAGACTCCTGTGGCATGCACCTTTACCCAATGGAGGGACAGTGAACTGTAGTAACTTCCACATAAATTATTAGAAGTTATTCCCCCCTGCTTCCCCCCTCCCCCTTTTTTTAAAAATAAGTGTTTAAGTAGCTCCCCTGATCTAAAATGTACCATAGTAACTATGTCTTCATGTCTCATCTGGAATCTTCTCATGGATATCTGTCCCATTTGTTTTTTCATAGTTATGCAAGTTCAGTGACAGCAGATTAGCTACAGCTAAATCCCCCTGTAAATACCCCCACCCTCAATGAAAAGGGAAGAAACAGGCACAATTTATTTAAATCTTTGACCCTTCCCTTATACACCCGTCAGCCAACATCCAGGGAGCTTCTCCACAGCTCGTGACAGGACTAGTTATCAAACAGGAGTGCTGACAGCTTCTATATAATGATGCACATGTTTATTCTATCCTCTATCTGGCAGCGGGCTATGATGCCATTGCAGCGGTGTCCCACATCTTTAAAGAAAGATAGTGAAGAGTGTCGTAGGCAGACTGTTCTCTGTGGTATTACTTGCAACTTGACACAAATAAAAATCTTGTTGGTTTTTCTATTGCATTACACTGGCATTCTGCACAGGAATATATTTATGCCATGAAAAATCATTAGCATCGTAATAGATTAAGAGTGCAAGTAACATTTGGTCTTGACATCAGGTGGGAAAGTATACCTGTTTCAGGGCACAGCCCAAGCAGCTGTTCATACCTTTGTACTGTTGTGACCAGCTCTTTTTCCTTTTTCTTTTGACACACCAGTTGCAATTCCTTCTCTCTGCACTGCGATCGGGCCTCTCCGAGCTTCCTTTCTAACTCAGTCACAGTTTCTTGAAGTTGCTTGTTCTTCTCTTCTAGAATTTGCAGCTAACACAGGTTACATCAGTCAGACACAATGCCACATTAGCAGAAGGCCTTGCGGCAGGCCACAACCTTACAGCTACCTTTTAGGCCCATTTCACTTATCTGAGTATGAGAACCCCTAATAGCTACAGTGCTTTCTAAAACACTGAAATACTTCTCTTCCTAAACAGATGGGGAAAAAATAAATGTTGAAACAGTAAAAGATTTGACGACAGATACTATGGAGCTTACTTGTATTTTTAAAATGTGAAACACACTGCCTTGACCTTACCTGTTTAGTCTGCCCTTCTATATCATCCAGCGTTGGTAAGTCAGCCAGGTATTTTTCTAAGGTTTCAATTCGTCTTTGTTTTTCTTTGTTTTGCTCAGACTCTTTCTGGCATTTCTTTTTCAGGCTATTAATATATCGGTCTCTAGTTTTAAGCTAGAAGAAAGTAAGAGAACATGTTTTATGACTACAGTGAAAAATAAACCTGCTTTGGAAGCTGAAGCTGGTCACTCTTCAAAAATTGTACTCTCAGCTGCATGAAAAGGTTGGTTACTACAGAGAACAAAACCAAAGAATGATCAATCCCAGCAGCTCCAAGTCATAGACCTACACGTGACCTCAAACCATGGTTGCTTCACCTCTGCCCAGAACACTCCATGTGCCTTGTGAACCGAAAACACAAATAGTTCAACAGTTAAACTATTCTTAATTTTTTCACCAATGGAGATCTTTATATGCAACAAATGATCAGCAAATATTTTAGTCCATCCTCTTCCTCTGGCCTAGGAAAACAACTTAAAACACAGGGACCAAGAACTTAACCCAACAATAACTGGAACCACAAACCTGACTTCGATGCAGTCTGACAATTACATCAGAGGACATCAGAACAGACTAGTGGCTTTCTTAAACACCTTTTCTACAGGCATCTTAATTGTTCATCAGCCTGCAAAAGGTTTTTTATATTGTGTTATCTTTGCTTGCATTCCTGGTACTTACTTTGCTTTATTACCTAGGTCAAAAAAGTGGGAAGGCGGGCAGGAAGGAAAAATAGTATTTTCCAGTCATAGTCCAATTTAATAAAAAACAGTATCTGTATTGCTTGAACTATGGTGTAGTAATTCACAGATAACAAACACTTGTCACTAGAGTAAATGCTAAACGTACTTTTATTTTGGTGCTACAGACATCCACCTCACTGAGAAATAACTGTGTGATACTGTCAGTGTCAGAGCTCAGTAACAGAGACTACTGAAAAGTTTAAGTCAATAATATCTGGAAAGTTTTTCCAGCAGTAGCCTTCTATATGGGCCACAAAACTGAGGATGCCAAAAGGCCGGAAATCTTTATATCTTTTATTTTATCAAGACCTCAAGGCTGAACAAAGCTTTCAGGCTGCTTTAAAATCTTTAGACAAAGCCCAAGTAAACACCACATTCAGTAAGGCAAAGTTGCAACTCAGCCATGATCTTTTGCCACAACACGTGCTTCAGAACCTCATACTTCCCCCCACACCCCAGGCCTTAAGGCAGTGATAGAAATATGCACATGTAAGCCAATGTTGCACAGTAAGAATTGCCAGGAACCTGACTGTTAGCTAAGGGAATCTCTTCCCTCTGTTTCTCACACGCCACTAAGGATGAGAAGTTGACCAGTTAGAATACTCCAGTACTCATGTGACAAAGATTACACGGTTTCCAAATCTTCTTGTCCTGCATATATACCATACGGAATTTCTTCTCCTGCAACCTCTCTCCTTCTAATCGCCAAGGGACTCCTCCCGCCCTCTCCAAATCCCCAGCATTACCTCGAGGACTCTTTCCACCTTCTGTCACCTGAGATGAAAAAAATGGGTTGTTGGGGTTTTTTTTCATTCACTCTTGCTGACTCTGCTGAGGGGAAAACAAGCTTTGGATTTTTTTTAATTTCTTCTTTCATATACACACTGCTGATGACTTTGTTGGGGCAGGAAAAAAATCAGAAAACTCTCACCTCTTGGCAATTAAATATTAAAAGCAAGGCCACAGAAATCATAGTGAACACTACTGCAAGCTGTCAGCACTACCTTCCAGGAGTCCTTCACAATTACCCATAACAGAGGGAGAAGGAGCAGCCAGCAGGGTATGGGTGTCTGAACTGAGGCATTTCCAGCCCAGCAGTCCAATTTCTAGATTAAATGCCTCAGAACTAAAGTGAAGGCTGCAAAATCTGCAGGTGCCAAGAGGCACATTCATGCTTGGCATAAAGAAAAGGAAGAACCTAGGCATTTGTGACACAGACACTGGCGGAGAGTACTGCAGCATCTACCTTAGGAGGCTCGTTCAGCTAGGAAGTGTGAGGAGCTACCACGACTACCGGCCAGCCCACGACAGGGAAGCTTTTTCAGGCTTCTGAAATTTCAGTGCCAATTAAAGAGCTCTCAATCACCTCAGTCCTACACTCTCAACCACCTCAGTCCTACACTGACTACACATGGAGCCTAGGGGAAAAGAACAAGGAAAGAACATTTTTCCAGCCTCCAGCTGCTTTTACTTTAGAGGCTCTCCTGAGGCAGTTATTATTTCTGTGCATTTAGAACAAGGCAGCACTTCCATCAACTCACCTATTTTTCCCTTGAGCACACCTATTACTCTTAGCATCCATAACAGCCTTCACAGAAACAATTTACAGGTTTGCTATAGGGAACTGGCACGAGGAATTGACTCCTTTTGCTAATCACGTACTTGGCTCCTAGAGCTTCACTAGATGTTCCCTTGCTCCTGCAACGGGAGCTGCAGTGAGGAGCTGACTGCCCTCCGTCCCGTTCAGGCTGCTCGTGGCTCTGCAGACTCCATCACGCTCCCCCTTCAGTGACTTCTTTTCCAGTGTGAAGATTTAATCATTCCTCCTGTGATTTTCAGATGGATATTTGCTTTGCTGCCCTTCTCTGAACCTTTTCCAGTTCCAAAACACCCTGTTTTTGTGATGAGGGAGTCTTTGCTAGACTTCTCACCACTGACAAAAGATGGTCAAGGAAACGGGAGCATTCTTTATGTTTTCTTTCCCCCCACCTACACCGAATGGTCACAGATTGTCCTTTATTGTCAAAAACATACCATCTCTACACTGTATTTAAATGTTGTATG